CTACGAATTGTGGCAAAAGCCAATAATATGGATAAAATCAGTATTAGATTTATCCCTCGACAGTTGTTACATAGGTGATGTTAACCTGTTTTAAAGATAAGGACAATTATCTACTCATTTCGTGATGTTGGTATGCTTTCCTATTCCCATAAGGTTGTGAACAACTCAGTCAGTCTCATTGACAAGTCACCATCAGCTTTAAAATGGGCCGGAGGTGAGTCATCTGGGTCTGGTGATTTGTAGCGTCTTAACAGTTGTAGAACCTTACAAAATTCCGCCTCATTAGGTGGACCACTCGTCACCAGCCATGATGAACAGGAAAGTCTGATCGATGTCGCTGGTGCAGCAGACTATCTGTGTCGTCTATGTCTATCGTCTAAGACGTTGGTGGTTGTTAATGATTGGTGTCCCATCAGGCTTACGGATTGTATCACTCACACCAGACTTATTGCTGCCAGTGGCTCGGATGAGTTGAAAGAGTTTCTGGCTGTTACTGGATGCAGCTATTGCCTCCAAGCCGTCAGCACGCTCCGAACAACAGGTTTCTCGCAAAATTTATACCATCTGATTACGCAACAGTCTCCTTTTATCGTCACAGTGGCGCTTAACCGAAGTAGGCCTATGTGCCCCAACCAATTGTAAGGAACCTGCAGAAACCTAATACTTGTAAGCGGGATGTTTTACAAAGCGGCAAACGACTTTACTCGCTTGTTTCGTGGCGTCGTGTAATTAAGAATAGTGTTCACCTGTACTTTTCAATGGCTTGATAGCTAGTCATGAAGCTAGCTCCATTTGAAGTGATAGGGAGTGACGTAGTCGTGCGTGTTGACCGCTTCACTTATCTGGGGAGTCTCATCAGTGCTGATGGTCTGGTGACTGATGAAATCTCATCTCGGATACAGAAGGTTCAATAGGCTTTGCCAACCTGCGTCACTTATGGAGCCGGCGAGATATCCGCTTGTTAACCAAAGGACGAGTGTACTGTGCAGCAGTTCGCTCCGTCTTACTGTATGGCTGTGAAACATGGCTGTTAAGAGTAGAGGACATTCGTAGGTTACTAGTTTTCGACCATCGTTGTCTCCGAACCATTGCTCGTGTATCATGGGACAACTGTATAAGCAATGCTGTCGTTAGGAAACGAGTTCTAGACAGGGATGGCAAATCAATAGATGAAGTAGTGAATCTTCATCTGTTGAGGTGGTTAGGACATGCGCTACGTTGCAATAGACGATCGCCGTTATCTAACCTGAGACCAACAAGTCCCCATTGGCCACTAGGACGGTTCTCCTAGACACCAGACCTGAATATGAAAGTCTCTGGCTAGTACTCCAGATAGCCACGATCGCCTTCAAAAGGCGAAAAATCATGCTGGTCATGAATCAGTATTATAGATAGGAGAATGAGACCTAATTAGTTATCTATTGATGATCAATTTACACTTGAATAAATATATTTATGTAACATACCGTAGATGAACATTAAATTTGAAACTAGTTGCGAACATATCTTTCATTTAAGAAGAGAATTTTGTCTAATTTGGAAACTATTTTCATTCGAAAAGTTGAGCAGATGCATGTCAGATGTGTGATCAAGCAAGGTACATCCTTCAGACCGAACTACTTATTCTACCAATATGTTGCGTGTGTCCAACCACTGACTACGTCGACGAGCTATGTTTTGTGATGTAGGAATAGGTTGGAAGAAAGCTAAGGGTGACCAGACCAAAACATGGCACAAATCCATGAAGTCACTGACAAGTAGACTGAGTCATGTTGGTAGATACAGGCTACCTGGTTGGGGTCCGCGAGACAATAGTAACCGATGGGTAGAGACCTTGGACGACATAACTCAAAATCGTTTGCAATGGCGCAGGTGCATCCACTCTTGGTGATCTCTCAAACTCTAACCTTTTGAATTCCTCATCATCTCTACCTTTCACTAAAGTTATTCACTGAACTATACTTCTTGAATAATTTCTTCGAACCCTAATCTTCTCCGTTACCGCTAATACTTCTACTATCCCTACCACTATGGGATTTGAACTGAAAACTGCGTCTCTGTGGCAACGTGGTACGGCAACCTGATGTAGGAACGTAAGAAGTTCTACGTTGTAAATGCTGCTACCCGACCATAAGTTGCTAACTTGACGTGGTGGTCGGGCTTGCCTAACGTCACGAACCAACCGGGATATACTGGCTGGAACATATGTTCCTGAAGGTTCTACCATGCCAGGCAGGTCGATTGGAGAACGATGAGACTAAAAGCAGCTACTCAAGGTCTGAGGGCGAAGTCGTACTGCTGACTGCAGAGAGGTGTGACAGCAGTAAGGTGTTTCCCTCGGACAACCAGCATCTGCAGCGATGCTGCCTTCTCACAAGGAAGGGAGGGTTGGAACAGATCGACCCTAAAAATGTCACACCTCACCCTACCTCACGGATTTCCGTCTCCGGCGGTAAGGGCAGCCCACTAAGGGCTTTTAAGAGCGGAGCTAATACTCAAAAAACTCTTCATAAAAAGGCCGTGCGTGACCGGCCTCAAGCAGTTGTCCCTTGGGCTCTGCGGTCACGCACCCAGGTCTCTAGGACCAACACTAATCTAATTTGATTTTACAGGTCCCTCAGGAAACAACCTTCCACGGTGTGGGCAGCTGGAAAGTCATAAACCGCCCTCATACCCGCACGAGACCAAATTGGTCAAAATCAAATTCTTCTTACACCCACGAATACCTCTCTTATCTCTACGACTAACTCTAGTCGCATTCCTTCAGCTCACTGCACAGCTAATGCAAACAATGCGAGTTCACGAAACGTCGTTCCCGGTTTCTTTATACACCGTTCTAAACTACATGTTGGAGCATTGAATGTACGGACATTGTTTCAAATAGGGCAACAGGCATCATTAGCTAGGACTTTAGAATCTCGCTCAATCGATGTGTGCTGCGTCTCGGAAACGCGCATACAGGATCCTAGTAGAATCATTAATCTGATTTCACCTTATCAAAATAAACAAGCATCCCGATTTAGTCTTCGTGTATCCGGTAGCCCTGATGCTGCTTCCAGGGGTCTCGCTGGTGTAGGTATAGCACTGAGTCGTAGGGCAGAACTAGCGCTCCTAGACTGGATCCCTGTAGATAGTCGCTTGTGCGCCGTCCGACTGGACGGGACAGTAAGGACTCGGAAAGATAGGGACACCCGTCGTTGCCTCTTCGTCATATCTGCCTATGCCCCCACTGACTGCAGTTCAGATGAGGTGAAAGATGAGTTTTACAGAAGGCTTTCGAACCTCCTCCAAAAAGCTAGGCGCCGTAGTAATAATGGCTGGTGACTTTAATGCTCAAGTAGATAGACTAAGTGAGCAGGAGAGACACCTTGGTGGATGTTATGATGTCGCGGCTCAGGGAACAGACAATGGTGACCGTCTGTTGCAACTATGCTCAGATAAACAACTATTTCTAGCAAACACTAACTTGAGGCATAAGGAAAAATATCTGTTGACCTGGCGACCTCCAAAGTTGTCTCAACGTTGGAATTCTTTACTTCAAGTGGCATTAGTCAGGGCTATCTACTCTCTCCATTCCTGATTAACTCTGAAGTAGACATGCTTTTACAGTTAACATTATCCTCGTCAGATCTTCCAGGGGTGGACCGTCTACCAGGTTTGCTTATTGACCTAGAATATGCCGATAACATAGTTCTATTCGGTGAAGACGCTGAAAAAATGCAGTCTTCTGACCACCTTAAGCAACAATGCAAGCATGTTCGGGGTACGGTTTTCTCCCTCAAAATGCAAAACGTTGCTTCAAGATTGGGTTGCATGGGCACCTGAACTAGTGATAGGGAGTGAAGTAGTCGAACGTGTAGACCGCTTCACTTATCTGGGGTGTCTCATCAGTGCTGATGGTCTGGTGACTGATGAAATCTCATCTCGGATACAGAAAGCTCGATTGGCTTTTGCCAATCTGCGTCACTTATGGAGCCGGCGAGATATCCGCTAGTTAACCAAAGGACGAGTATACTGTGCAGCAGTTCGCTCTGTCCTACTATACGGATGCGAAACATGGCTGTTAAGAGTAGAGGACATTCGTAAGTGTATCCAAACCATTGCTCGTGTATCATGGGACAACTGTATAAGCAATGCTGTCGTTAGGAAACGAGTTCTAGGTAGGGATGGCAAACCAATAGATGAAGTAGTGAAACTTCATCAGTTGAGGTGGTTGGGACATGTGTTACGTATGCCTAACCACCGACTGCCTCGACGAGCTATGTTTTGCAGTGTAGGAGTAGGTTGGAAGAAAGCTAAGGGCGGCCAAACCAAAACATGGCACAAATCCATGAAGTCACTGACAAGTAGACTGAGTCATGTTGGTGGATGTAGGCTATCTGGTTGGGGTCCGCGAGACAATAGTAACCGATGGTTAGAGACCTTGAACGACATGGCTCAGAATCGTTTGCAATAGCGCAGGTGCATCTACTCTTTGTGTTCTATGAAATTCTAAGCTTCTGCATTCTTCATAATCTTTATTTTTCTCCTTCTAAATTTATCCTACTGAATTATACTTCTCGCATCATATCTTCACTCCCTAATCTTCTCCATTACTGCTAATACTTCTATTAATGCTATCACTCTTGGATTTGAACCGACAGTTACGTCTCTGTGCTGATGGGCCATGGCAACCTGAACTGATGTATTTACGTACGAAGTTCTGCGTTGTATCTGTCTGTCTGTCAATCTGAATACTGATAATCAATTTCAAGGTAGTATGATGACTTTTAGTTTAGATGAAGCTTATTAAATTAAGTACTCAAAATTATTGATAAAGATATATCGGTTGTCAGTAGGCATTCACTTTAAATAGCCTAGACAAATGTGAATCAGTGGACTGGATAATCTCTGAAACCATACTTAAATTTGCTTCTTATTACTGCAATATTTAAAAAAGTCTACACATTGCAACAAAAATAAAGGTCCCGAACGAGTCGAAAAGATTTGAGGAAATAATCCCACTGTAATAACAAACGTTTATCATGAGCAAAATTAATATTGTATATATATGTACAAGGAGTCACTTATGTGCAAAATGTATTGAAATTAATGAAGTAACAGTTTTCACACAAAAAATACTCAAACTTGGTTAGATAAATTAACTTTTCGAAGTATAGTTTACACAGATTTTTAGATTTTAGAGGAGGCCGTATTGCTTCCATTAGATAGATTCAGATTCCCCAATTTTTCGATTGTCTCTGAAACTTGGAGATTGTTGGAAGGTAAAACATTAGTAACATCTAATTTCTCACTTGACAACTGTGGACTGTGGCATCCAGAATCGGGGATGTCCCCTTTCTCTTTTGAAACAGGTTTTTCTAAAGTATTACCGTTAGTGATATTTCCGAATTTAATCCACTTTCCCTTACTTTGGCGAAACGAAACCTGCAGCCGCCTACCAGATAAAAGTGATCCGTTCATTATATCTATGGCATTTTGCGCACTTTGAAAATTACTAAACGTAACGAAACCGAAGTTTCTGGAAGAATTTGTTTTGTAATCTTTCGGTATAGAAACATTTAAAACTGGTCCAAACTGTGAGAACAGAACGAATATTTGTGCTTCAGTCATGTTGCCAATATTGTATATGTATACAGAGGTAGATTCATTTTTGTCAATTTTAGTGGGTTTGGGTCGACCGAATTGAGAAAAGTCATTTGACTGTTTGTACATTACGTCAGATATCTTGGGAGGTAAATTGGATTTATGCTGACTTGGAGTGGGATAAAATGTATTTTGAACGTTGGTGATTATGGGACAACCTTGAACTGAACTTCCATAATTTTCCAACTGATTTGTACATAAAGTATTTAAAGGGATTTGGTTAAGGTAATTCTGTTGAAGAGGTAGCCAAAGGTTTGGATAAGGTTGTTGTGAATAAAAGTAGGGTGTTAAATAACCAGAAGTTAGGTTCAGGGCAGAGGCAGAGTTCTGATATTCAGTATTGGGATAATCATTACTCCACAACAGACCCTGTGGTGTTAGTTGTGGTTGGATTGCAGAAGATTGCAATAGCGACCCTTGGGTCAATGCTGTACATAAATTGTTTGGAATGTGTGGTAATTGTGGACAAGGTGCGTAAACTTCGGGAACTGGAGGCTTTGATTGAGATGGTAAATGAGTAGATAGCTGATCACTTCGTAGATTTTGATGAACAAACGGTCTTCTGAAATTGTTTCTGGATTTTGTCAAATTAACTGACTGTCGATAAGGTGGAGTAGCAAACTTTATAGACAGTATCTGATTATCCGTAGATCCAGGCCAGACACGAGCATCTAGAGCACGTTTAGCTACTTCAGCGTCGGCAGGATTCTCGAACAGTACGTAGGCACTCCCCTTAGAAACATTCGTATCGTGATCACGCAATATACGACACTGAACCACACGACCAAAATGTCCGAATTCCGCTGTCAGATCGTCTTCGGTAAGTGTAGGTGGGAAATTCTTAACGTATAAGTTTGAGCTTTGAGAAAGCCGTCCTTGCAGCTTAGCTAACGAAACTTTCAGAATCTTGTCGGCAATTCGGTAACCATTGAAGCGCGTGATAGCTTTGTGAGCAGAGTCAGAATCTTCATACTCACAGAACCCAAACCCAAAGCTGGATCCGCTATTTCGGTCTCGAATTATTCGACAAGTTTTAATGGTACCAACAGATGAAAACAGATTGGTTAAATCAGCATCTGTAATTGACGTCGGAATGTAATTGATGATTAGGTTGCGATCATGATACACAACCATCTTTGGAGCTGAAATGTGGAAAATTAATGTCCAAATTTAAATGGATAACACAACTAATGGGTGAAACTGACAAACTGGGTTTAAACCAATAGTTTACAAGGATTTGTATTTTATGTGTATAAAAGTAATGATAGGTGACTTAAAATAATATTACACAATGATTTCAAGTAAACCTTGGGTAACTTTAGGTAGCTGAGACATGTGTTACGTATGCCCAACCACTGACTGCCTAGACGAGCTATGTTTTGCGATGTAGGAATAGGTTGTACGAAAGCTAGGGGCGGCTAGACCAAAATATGGCACAAATCCATGAAGTCACTGACGAATAAATTGAGTCACATTAGTGGGTGTAGACTACCTGGTTAGGGTATCCGCGAGACAAAATGAATCGCAGGTGCATCCACTCTTTGTGGTCTCTCAAATTCTAACTCCCTGAGTTCCCTCTCATCACTTTTATTTCACTGGGTTATTTTTCTTGAATAATTTCTTCGAACCCTAATCTTCTCCATTACCGCTAGTACGTCTACTGTCTCTACCACTATGGGATTTGAACTGACAATTGCGTCTCTGTGGCAATGTGTTATGGCAACCTGAACTTATGTGAGTACGTACGAAGTTTTACGTTGTAACTGACTGACTGAGGGTCAGTAAACAACGATAGATAATCTCTGGAACATTCGGTTACTACAGGATAAGAATGAAAGTTGATAACGTAGGGATGACTGATACTTTGATAATATTCAAAACTTAAAATGTCATTTTTCCTGGGAAACTAACAAAACAATTTTGATGATTGGTTTGACTCTTAAATGAACAATTACTTGAAGGCTGAAAGTTCTGCGGACTACTGGTAACTGTTATTACGAAGAGTAAGATACCTTATTTTAAGATGCAGTATGACTGCAAAACATTCGGCTAATGCTCCAACGATCCTCCACTATCGCAATTACAGATCGGTTACTGGTAATAACTCTTGAATTAATGACTAAAATATTAGGCTTTTATCTACTGGATCAAGTATTTAAATACACACTGCCTAATACGTTTTGGTTAGTGAGATACCAAAGCTAGTTTTTTATGCATAACGTGAGGTACCATGTCATAGATACTGATCTAAACTTAAAGTTGAATCTTCGAATAACATTCAGATTTTTACTCTAACTTTCACATAAAAACAAGTTCAGTTGATTCGGATTTCAGTTTAGATGAAGTGCAGTATAAAAATTTGCGTTCCAATTAAAGACTATAATGGTATTTTTCCGGGATAAAGGTGATAAGAAACTAGACATACCGTTCGAAACGGCTTTTCCACAGAATTATTTCAAGAGTTGCAACTTCACTAAAATGTACAGGGCGTAGTATGCTTGCTTTTCCCATCATGAAGCAAAATTCTAGCGTCCTTCTATTTCTCGAGAATTGTCAATGATTCAACCAGCCTTTTGGAGGCGTTTAGTAAGAACCTGGTTTCCTCAGATCACCAAACGTGATTTACCACTAGTCAATGGTGCTTATATACAAGAGATAAGCTTCAAGAAAACCGTAAAAAATTATTTGATGCCTCAACCCCTTACTAAATAGACATATAGTTCGAGTACAGAAAAATACTTTGTGGGTGTCGATCGCTTATTATGCAAAGTAACAAGTAAAAAGACACAAACCTCAACAAAAAGCGTGTGGACCAAAACGTGGCTTAAGTTGTAATCCCGCTTTCACTTAAGGTCATTTTCCTGATATACAATATACTACTGCCCTTGTGACAAGCTACTGTAAATCAGCTGATTCCTTTAAGTACGATTCTGGAAAAATTTGTCAGTAAAATCAAATTTGAAAGTCAATAGTTAGCTGACAAGTCATTTGCATTAACTGTGTATCGTTTTACATCTCGTGGTCAAATAGAAATTTTCATCATATCTCGGTATTTTCTATCTACTGACATTTGCAGTGCATCATGTAGTTGGAGCGCTTTTTAACTGCTATTCAGCTGATACGCAATTCGTCCTGGGCTTGTGTTCTTGAAACAGTAAATAAATCCGTAAGTTAAGTAGTTCGGTACGTCTTCCACAGGTTTTAATCACACTACTTATGTGGAGAAACTCTAACCGAAGGCGGTTATTCTCCAATGATATCTTTAAACTCTTTTGCAATATCTCGAAAGGTATTCGTTTTGGAAGGAAAGAAAAGTGAGGCCCTGTCAGATCTTAGTTTAATGCTTATTGATTTAAAAACTTTGATAAAGTCGCCTCTGGCTCTCTAATATGACATAGGAAATACGCTTGTTCGGCCATTCTTTAATCATGTTGCAGCTCCGTGTTTCTAGGAATCAGCTTTCTTGCAGTTTGTTTAACCTATTCCAACAGCTCACTATTTTTTCAGGTAGAGCCCGGCCACGTGTATGCAGTTCTCAAGTTTAGGACGAACAAACACTATGTGAAAGGTAAAAATATTTTCGAATGGACGTGGCTGAAGACTCTAAATGTTGGCCATAGAGTTCTAAAGGCCTTGGTGACAATGGCATAGTTGTGTGTGGTATTTTTCATGTTTGGGGTGGTGATGACTCCTGGATCATTGTGTATCGGAATAACAGATAGTCGTGTGTTATTGACCCTATATTGACTTGCGCCTTCGCAACCAGTACACATTATAAAGCAGTTAGAAGAACCTATCAGCAACTGCTAAATTCACGACAAATCAGATAAGTTCTGTTAGTCATTATAAAGCTCAAAGCTAACACCTCCGTTTTTTTATCATCACCCATATCTTGTCGACATATGACAAATCGATTATGGTAGAAAACTAGGACCGTCATTCAAATGTGGGAGAATTAATGATTCCGAAATTGTACCCTGAGACACTTAACAGTTTCCCAGCTGGAAAACGTGCAGTTAACCCATACTCTGTCATGACGACTAACAAGGAAATCCTTTATTCACAAAAGTTACTTCTAATCTTAATATCGCTAAACTTAGATGATAACTGGCTGTGAGGAGCTCTTCCAAACTCTTAACGTAGTCAATGAAGGCTAGATATATGGGTAACTTAAGATTTTTAAGGGCCCATCAATTTTGACGGCTTACTGGTAAGTTTCTCAGGCATAAATCGACATTCTAAAGCGGGAGTGTAGCGAATGAAAATGCGGGCAGGAGAGGAAGAATAATATGGCGAAAAATTGCAGTCTTTGTAAAATATCAAAACAATGCACTGAATGTACCGCTTGCACATCTTTCGGTTGACCTCTAAAATCCTCATCCATCCTTGTTGTTACTTTACCTGCTTTCTGTTGTTAGTTCTCTTATCCTCATTTCTTTATTCTACCAATTCTACCAATTCTACTAATTCCGTTATACACTACTTATATCTGTCCGTATAAGTAAGCCGCTCACACCGCAGCAGTTTATTCACATCTAAAGTATAAAGGTGAAATGTCGAAGCTACAAGGATTATAAGCAGTAATGTACATCATAAAGATTTAACCATGTCAGGCAAGATTAATAGGGTTTGCTCCGTAGTCAAGCTATTCCAAGGAGTGGAACACCATTTGTTAATTAATAATTACTCTTGCAGTTCGCCTTTAACCCACAAGGTATAGGTTCCTACACATCCCACCCAGTCTGTTACCATCAAACACTTTTTTCTCATCATCACTCGACTGACAGTCAACCGGAGTAGAGACAGTTACAGTTGCACAACCTTGTGCATCTTCAATCAACTTTACATTTGCGACAAGGCTCGATGACTTCAAAACACTAGGAGGTTCATTCGACTTGTTAAATCGACTAGTCACTATAGATGGATAGCTCATACTTGATGTCTCATTACTATCGCTACCACCACTACGATTCTGATGACTACTATCTCCATTGCTAGTCACAGCATCCGAAAGAGAAAGAAGTTTACGCTTTTTAATAATAGTAGCATCATGTCGTTTCTCCTACTTCTCACTTTGGGTAGCAGTATGTGAACGTAATGTACACCCACTCCGATGTCGATGAGTGTCTTTCGATGTCCTTTGATCACTATTACCCGCAGGATTATTATCAATACTATTATCATTAGTATCCGCAGCTGTACAAGTAGCAGTCATCTTCCTATGACATCCATTCGACATCACGACTCATGTCCAACTCTACTCGGTCAACACTGCTTTCCTTACTAGGAATGCTCTTAAACTCTTCTGTCTTATCACTGTTGACAGTGCTCGTAACGATACTTGTAGTACAAGTCAAAGATAATGGAGTGCGACAGGTGGACAATTCCATGCTTGATTCCTCATGCTGCATATTCAACACAACAGCGTGTCCATCAAACCTAGATGACTCTTCATTGCACCTAGGGCACTGGATGTTAGCCATCTCAGTAGTGCCATCGCTGTGGCTCACGCTATGGCCACCGATGCCTATATTCTCCACGCTCAAACATCTAATTTCGTCTTGATCCGAAGTACTCAAAGAAGCTACATTAGTAACAGCAACCGAAGAAACAGCGCTACCTATAGTGATTCCACTATCGTTACCATCACATCTGTCACACTATTAATAGACACATGAGGTTTCACTTCAACCTTGACGTTGTTGTTGTCCACACTGATGTTCCGACTCTTCACAGTTAATGACGAGTTGCGAGATAGTTCGCGTGCAGGCTTTAATGATAAGCTACTACTGCTGCCACTTACACTAACACTAGCAATGATACTATCACCGCTTGGACTAGTATGCGACCGTTCATCAGTTGACTGCAAACAAACATCAGCAAGACGCGCTAAGCTGCTATTATCTTTCGCTTCACTATTATGATACTTCGTAGAACTAGATACAGTAGCCCACATATCTCCTGATCGCGCAGCAACATGAAGTGCCATGTCACTGTTTACGCTTGCTATCCTGGGATCAGCTCTAGGTAGTGTCAATTAATTTACACTACGTGAAGGGTTCCGAACATAAGCTTCATTCCATACAGTCAAACCCGTTTCGTCCTTATTTATATTCACTGCACCCATTAACCTCTGTTTGCTCGAATCCAAATTACCATTCCTTGCATTTCGAGCAGTTAGGAAGCTTCTACCATCACATACCTCGGATCCATCTTAATGCCTAACCTTTCTGCCTTTTTCCTTCTTTGCCATCCTCAAAAAGCCACCTTATTTGCTACAGATACTGACTTCTCATTAGGATAAACATCAAGGAATTTTAAATCATAAAGCCTACATGCTCGGTCTTCAGAAGAGTATTCCTTGCTAATACAATTAACAACTCTCTTAAGTTCCGGGCGTGAGGTAAGTGCAAACATATTCGAAGAATTCCCATGTCCCGCACGCCGATGACGTATCGCTTCCACATCATGTCCTGTTTTCGTGTGATTAGCGAATCGTCCAAATCTACTACTAGCTATCCTTGCACGAGACAAAATAGTCAGTCAATTCATTGAATGTAGGCTCTCTATCCTCCTCGTCCCATTTAATTTCCAGCTCTGCCCACTGGACTTGCATACGATGAGGTAAAAGTCTAACTATCCGCTCCACAGTTACTAAAGAATTCAATTCAGCAGTCCAATTTAGCTGTTTCAGAGTCATAGACACTTTCTGCATATTAATTGCTAATTTTGACAATTGCTCTGGATCGTTATGGTCAGCATTCCCAGATCTAAACAAGTCTTCCAAGGTTTCACGAGCGATTACGTGCGATTGTCCGAAAAGCTGCTTTAGAATAGCCTTAGCCCTTTCATATAGCCCCTTTTTATAAGACATCCCTCAATCGCATCTCTTGCCTTTCCCTTACAGTAATGGATTAAATATAATAGGCGCAGATTTTCATCAACAACTCTAGGTTCTGTAAACGTCTCAAATTGCTAAACCAACCTTAAGTAATCACGGTGTCGGCCGTCAAAGAAAGGGATCTCAACCTTTGGCAATTCTAAGCTAACTACCGGTGTCCTAGATATCAAATCTTTCCGAGATATCTCAAAGTTCTCGTCCAAACTTCGTTCTTTAGTACCGTCTAATGATGACTTACGGCAATAAGTACTAGGCATAATATCATCCTTATTAGAGAGTGAACCCATTAAACATGAAGTATCGTACGGTACTTGCCTTGCATTCCGCGATTCTTCATGAGCTTTATTCCTCTTCGTGTTTGGTTTCTTTCGAGAACTTGTTATAGTAATTGGAATTCAACAGAAAAGAAACAACAAAGACCGAATATGAAATTTCACCGGTTCCCTGTCTTCAATTATTGCCGACAATAAGATATCCACAGTATTTTTCTCCAAATATCGTAAAATATCCAAAAGATCCTCTTCCAAATATTGTTTAGAAATAGTAAACAATAAGAAATCCAAAGGATCTCCTCCAAATATTGTTTTCAACTGGAAAGCGACAAAAAATCCAAAGGATCTTGCTCCAAATGTTGTTTTGAACTGTTAAGTTATAATTTACGCTTGCAGTTCGCCTTTAACGCGCCAGGTGTAGGTTCATATGCGTCCCACCCAGTCTTCCAAGTCCAAACACGATAATTCTGGGAGAGAAGTTTTCAAAACAATATTACACCTTTGAGTTTCCAATTACCATAATAGGTTCCGTTGCTGCAAGAATAAGTGCTTCCAGTCCGTTACTGACAGAGTATCAAATCCAAATATGGCTGTAGCCATATTAAGTATCTACTTTAATCAACATATGTATAGTTCAGAAGGAAACATAAAAACTTCGATATAAGCACAAGATACAGAAATAATAACAA